TTTTTTTTCTTTCTGGAAATTTCAATGAATACTGTTTTTTCTTATCATTTGAATAATATGGGGTGTTGTAGAGAACGGTTGTCGGTGATAAATTTGTATTGTTGGCAAACATCTGTCTGTGGCGTTACAATGATTGATATTGTTTTACTGTTGTTGTGATTGATATGCAGATACATATCTAAGGGGGTATATATTTTCCTAAATGCTTGAGAAACAGAAGAAAATTCAATAAAAGGCTGAAATATTACATGGATAGAGGGAAGGAACATAGTTAAAAGCTTCTAATGTTGTGAAAGGTAAAATATTTTACAAATATTAAAGTGCGATTACTAAAAAGTTATATTTAATGTAACAAATTTCAATCTTTTGTTTTACAACTTTCCAGACAAGATTTTTGGTTTTGAGTCTACCTTGAAATTGTCTGTTAAAATCGCTAATGGCAAATAAAGTGTATTCAATTTTTTTTAGACACATATCAATCATTTGTCATGTTGAGATCTTAGCTAAAAAAAAACAAGTGACAAATTTGAAAATATAAACCTTCAGACATAAGGAGTAGAAATTTCGCATCAGTCATAGGTTGCGTATACGTAATATCTGTTGATGATTTTTAAGCACTTATACGCCCTGGTGTAATGCGAATTATTATTACTTATACGACATGGGAGTTAATTGAAGAACTTGTAACTCCTTTAAGGGTTTGATCAACTCAGACTGGTTATTGAATATTGAAACAATAAGAAAATTTTGCAGTGAATTTGAAAAGAGACGTAACTTTGTCGAATTTCTTTTTTGAAGACCAAAATTTTAGATACTTTTTAATGGTATATAATAAATATACAAATTTCTTTTGTTCAGAGACTCACAATAAAATTTGATCTAGAATAATTCTTCCTTTGACTTTTTCCCAAAGTATGAAGTATTGATTGTCTTAAATCGAAAAAATCTTAAATTGACATAAAAAAACCTAAGCACCTAATTATCTCATAATTTAAACTTCAAATGTAATTTTCTTAAAAACTATTAAACCTAGCTATATAGTTTATTCTGAGATTTATAAAGAAATTTTGTGTAGAATATTTCTGTCTTTAACAATTTACATCTAAAATGAAATCTTACGTTACTTTTGTGTAGCAATTCAAAAAAAGGCAGAGAAAAAAAGTTATCAAATATTACAAAATATTTTCGCGTTTTGTAGCAACATTGCTGCAAATATTTTCCATATATATAATAAAAATACAGATTTCATTTGTTCAGAGTCTTATATTGAAATTCAATATGGAATATTTCTCCCTTTGAGTTCTTCCCCAAAAAAATTAAGTATTAAGGGAGATTTTTACATAGATGGGAAACGTGTTAAAATTAGAAAAAATTAAGTAAATAAATAATTTTCACTTATTTTATGTCGGATGTAGTTTTCTTAAAAACTGTTAGACATAGCCATATAGTTTATTCTGAGGTTTAAAGTGAAATTTTATGTAGAATATTTTTTTCTATTGACAATTTATGTCTTAAATGAAATCCTTCGCCTCTTTTATGCATCAACTCGAAAAAAGGCAGGGGAAAAATTGATCAAAAATTAGGAAATATTTTTACGTTTTTTTTAGTAACATTTAGGCAAATATTATCCTGATAAATAAATAATAGAATTGAATTTCGATCTAGAATATTTCCCTCTTTGACATTTTCTCCAAAACATAAAGTGTTAAGGGAGACTTTGACTTCGAATGGCAATGCGTTGAATTAACAGCAAAACAAAAGTGAACGCATAATTTTCACTCGTCGTACATAAATTTCGAATGTAATTTCCTTAAGAGTTAGAAATCCTAGATGTATAGTTTATTCTGAGATTTATAGTAAAATTTTGTGTAGAATTTATTTTCATTCATTTGTTTGCTAAAATTTAAATTTTATATCACATTCAGGCGTTAAATCGAAAAAAAGGTCGAAGAAAAATTGAATGAAAAATTATGAGATATATTTGCGTTTTTTTAGCAACATTGTTGCAAATATTTTCCAGATATATAATTAATATACAAATTTCATTTCTTCAGAGGCTTACATTGAAATTCGATCTAGAATATTTCTTCCTTTGACACTTTCCCCAAAGCATGAAATATTAAGGGAGATTTTGACTTAAATTCAATTGACAGCAGAAAAAACGTAAACACCTAATTTTCTCTTAAGATATATTCATATCGAATGCAATTTTCTTAATAACTATAATACCTGGCTACATAGTTCATTCTGAGATTTATAGTGAAATTTTTTGTAAAATATTTCTTCTTTTGACAATTTATGTCTACAATGAAATCCTACCATACTTTTATGCATCAACTCGAAAAAGGCAGAGGAAAAATTGTTCAAAAAATTATAAAATATTATCACGTTTTTTAGCAACGTTAAGGCAAATATTTTCCAGATATATAGTGGAAATACAGATTACATTTGCTCAGAGGCTTGCATTGAAATCCGATCTAGAATATTTTTTCCTTTCACACCCTCCAAAAAATATGAAATATTAAGGGAGATTTTGACTTAAATTGGATACGTGTTCAATTGTCAGCAGAAAAACGTAAACACCTAATTTTCTCTTAAGATATATACATTTCGAATGCAATTTTCTTAAAATCTATAATACCTGGCTATATAGTTTATTCTGAGATTTATAGTAAAATTTTGCGTAGAATATATCTTTTTTTAATAATTTATGTCTACAATGAAATCCTACCACACTTTTATACATCAACTCGAAAAAGGCAGAGGAAAAATTGTTCAAAAAATTATAAAATATTTTCATATTTTTTATAAAAATTGATTTAAATATTTTCCAGATATATAGTAGAAATACAGATTTCATTTGCTCAGAAGCTTCGATCTGGAATATTTCTTTCTTTGACACTTTCCCCAAAGCATAAAATTTTAAGGGAGATTTTGACTTAAATTGGAAACGTGTTCAATTGACGGCGGAAAAACGTAAACACGTAATTTTCTCTTAAGATATGTACATTTCGAATGCAATTTTCTTAAAAACTATTAAACCTAGGTATTTACTTTATTCTGAGATTTACAGTGAAATTTTGTGTAGAATATATCTTATTTTGACATCTTCTGCAAAAAATGAAATTTCATATCACTTTCAGGCGTTAAATCGAAAAAAGGTCGGCGAAATTTTTTTGCAATATTTTCGCGATATTTTTGCTAATTTTGATGTAAATATTTTTTAGATCTGCACTCGAAATTCGGATTTCTTTCCTGTGACGACTTTTAGTAAAATTTTACGAAGAATATTTTTGTCTTTGATATCTTCTTTCTAAAGTCATTTCTTGTAGGAGATTTTTGCAAAAACTCACAAAAAGTATATTTTTATAACCTCCATCATTAGCGTAAAATTCGAAGACGATTTAGCCCTGTTCGTTCTTCCGTCTGTCCGTCGGTTGTAATCATGCTACAGTCAAAGCGAATTAATATATGAAACTAAAATTTTGCACACATCTGTCTTTTGTCTGCAGGTAGGTTAAGTTCGAAGATGGGCTATATCGGTCCACGATATCGTATAGCCTCCATATAACAGTACCGCCGATATTCGGTATTTTCATGATTTTAGCCTCATTTTCCAACGGAATTGTCTGAAAATTGACACAAGGACATACAGGAATGTCTTGCAAGAGAATTACTTATATAGGGCCACGATATCGTATAGCCCCCATATTAATCGGTATTTTTATGATTTTAGCCAAATTTTTCATTGAAATTGTCTTAAAATCCACATGAGGCGATCCTTCTGAATACTTTGCACCTTAGATGAGAATTGTCTAAATAGGTCCATGTTTTAGTATAGCGCCCATATAAAAGTACCCCAAATATTCGGAAATTTCATGATTTTTGCGACATTATTCACCGGTATTGTTTCAAATTTCGTATTTGAAGTTCGGAACCGTAACTACAGCCTATGACACAAATTACTTATGCAGGACTTCGTATACCCCTTATAAGGGTTTTCATTGGAGCGGAATTTTTTAACGGATTTTTTTTTTTTTTGAAAATGTTCAAGTTTCTTCTAAATGGTGGAGGGAATAAAATGTTCGGCCCGACCGAACATAGCCGTTTTTTACTTGTTAACCCTAAAATATGTTTTTAATATACCTGAATTCCTGGCGTTTAGGAAAGATTTAAACTTCTGACGTCTTCCAAGACCTAAAGTAGAATTTTATGAAGAATAAGTTTGTAGAATATTTTGACTTGTTACAATTCCTTCTAGAAGCAATTTTCATATATATTTTGAAAAAGGACCAAAAAGACCTCTTTGGTCATTCGTTAGAGGGTTAAAATTTCCTTTGGAAGTAATCCTCGCATGGTTATCTGCAACATTACCGAAGACATACCTGAATTCCTGGCGTTTAGGAAAGATTTAGGCTTCTGGCGTCTTTCAAGAGCTAAAGTTGAATTTTATGAGGAATATTTTGACTTGTTACAATCCCTTACATATTTTGGAAAAAGGACCAAAAAGACCCCTTTGGTCACTCGTTAGAGGTTTAAAATTTCCTTCCGAAGTAATCCTTGCATGGTTATCTGCAACATTGCCGAAGACACTATATACCCAAAATCAACGGATTCCAAGGAATTATAATTCGTAAAATTAAATAATTGGAAGAGTTGGGAACTTGTCCCCTCTATTTAGGTTACTTCGCAAGGTAACCTCCAAAAAGGTCTATGCAGGTGTCTTCCTTTTTGGATCTACTTTCATAATCTACTGAATTTTTGCTTTGATTAAAAAAAATTAAATTTGTGGCAATTTGTATTTAAGCGTATTAAAAAAACAAGTATCCGAATTTCACCTTAATTCCCCAACTTAAGTCAAACAAAGTCTGAACTATTTTCATGCCTACATTTCTGGGGTGTTTATTTTTTTTTGTTCATCATAACTTAGATAAACTATGTTTTATTTACTCACAATGTTTTTTTTTCTTCTCTTCTTTTCTTTTTTGTTCAAATTCCAGCCCATGGTCCCATTTTGGCCGGTCATGGTTATGCTGCACCAGCTTATGCCACCCATTATGCTGCACCAGCTTTGGTGAAGTAAGTTCGACTCCATTTCTCCACTTGTTGTTTTTTCTATTTTCCTCTTCGAAATTCAAACTAAACTAAAACTAACTCTGTTTTATTTACTTAAATCCTGTTTTTTTTTTTCAAATAGGGCTGCCGTTGCTGCTCCAGCTTTGGTGCATACATCCGTTGCCGGTCATGGCATTCACTATGGTTACTAAATGATGTGCGCCCACCCCGCCTGACTTATCGTTTCCGTTTCCGTTCCAACCAACCGTTAAATGTATTGAATATTCTTTTGCTTGTTTTTTACTACTCCACCTCCTCCTCCGCCGACCAGGACATAGCACAACGCCTTTATTTTTCTCGCCAAACTGAGCTGAGCTGAGGTTTGTTTTTCATGGCTTTTTTCCTCTCGAATAAAGTGAAAAGTGAAAGAAGAACACCCCTCTCCCCCCCGATTTTTTTGTATATAATGTTTCACCCCTTTATTAAGTTCAACGACATTAATTGGGTAAAAACCCAATAAAAGGGGGGTAGATGTTGTGTTTTCATCTCTCTCTCCCCCCACATCATCAAATGTCGTCCTAACAGCTTTGTAAATATTCAATTCACGCTAATGTTTTTTGTTGTAAATAAATGTATGAAAAACATAATAAAAATAAAATTTATCGCGGTTAAATTTTACTATGTAAAAACAGAAATAAAAAACAATTAAAAAAACAAATAAAATATTTTAAATCTTGTGTTTTTGTTTTTCGTTTCTGGAAGAGTATGGTAATGTATGGCAACAGCTGTTGCTGTTTAACATTTGGAAGGGTAATTTGCATAAGAATTGTATGGGAAAAGTGTGCAATAAGTATCGAATAAATTATAATAAATTTGAGCTCAAATTCCTGGAATTCCTGGTTACTAGAGACATATTTCATGGAAGTAGGGTCATTAGCAAACAAAAGTATTCGAGATTGTTCTACTATTGCTTGAGGATTTGTTAAAGGCAATTTTCATATTGCAGACTACTTCAGATATCTTTAATACACACCCGCCATTTTTTTTCTTCTAACACCCCTCCGACCGTAGTTTTTAGTGTAGTGGAGTTTTTCACCAAACTTTGCAGATGAGGAATCATAGAATGGAGGCATTTTTCAGAAATTCTCAAATAATTTATTTGAAGTGGTAGAAAACACATAGCAGGTATGGGCTAGGTGATGGAAATATAGGAAGAATATTATAGGCCTTGAAAAAAATATTCTTTAAAAAATCCACGCGTTGATGGGCCTTGAAAAAAATATTCTTTAAAAAATCCACGCGTTGATGGGCCTCGAAAAAAATATTTTTTTAAATTTCCACGCCTTGATGGGCCTGGAAAAAATATATTTTAAATTTCCAAGCCTTGATGGGCCTGGAAAAAAATATTCTTTAAAAAATCCGCGCCTTGATGGGCCTTGAAAAAAATATTCTTTAAAATATCCACGCCTTAATGGGCCTTAGAAAAAAATATTCTTTAAAAAATCCACGCGTTGATGGGCCTTGAAAAAAATATTCTTTAAAAAATCCACGTCTTGATGGGCCTTGAAAAAAATATTTTTCAAGAAAAAAATATGGAAAAAATTATTTTTTAAAAAATCCACGCCTTGATAATGTTTGAAATAAATATTCTTTAAAAAATCCACGGCCTTGAAAAAATATTTTTAAAAACAAATCCACGCCTTAATTCGCCTTGAAAAAATATTTTTTAAAAAATCCGTATAAAATGATATATAACCCCTGTAGCCATATGACTGAGGGTATAAAAATACCAATTCAAGTGTACATTTGTTACGGTCACCGGAAAATACGTCATGGATTATTATTTAAATTTTATAAAATTATAGTCGATGCTATAATTAAATTTTTGATTACAATTGTCGGCCAAATATTGCCCTCCAATTATTAAGAAAATTATTCAATAAACCACGAAAACTTTTTGCGTTTTCGAAAAACTCATTTCTTTGCTAAAACTATTTCTGGGCTTTCTGGTAGTTTTGTTTGTTAATAAATTTTCCAAATTTTGTCGTTGTGCAATTGTCAGCATGTTGTAGTTTTTATTCGTTTTTGTTGCATAGTTAACAAGTTCAGGTGAACAAATTTACAAACTGTCGCTGTTTGCCCCATCCGTCCGTCTCGTACACCCATAGATTGAAATAAAATGAACACGGCAGTTCCACACTGAGAGTCTGGCACGCTCCACATTTATTCAATTCGCGATTATTTAAATTTTAAGTCCATTTAAATAGACATTGTTGAGCAGAACAGCTACAATTTGTATAGCAAATTTCTGGTATTTATCTTTCGCATACATTCTATACGGCTGTCTGACTGGCTTTAGGTTTTTGGGTCCTCAGCTTGTCCCCTTCTGTGACACTCCTATGTAGAACATTGTGCCTTTTGGCCAATTTTTTTTTTTTCGTTGCAACGACATCCGTTATACAAGCCACTCTTCCGTTCCTCAGTGCAATATGCAAAGCATTTGAGTGAGTGAGAGTGCCAGAGTGTGTGTGCGTTCCTCCAAAATAGATTGAAAACTGCTGAAGAGAGGTAGAAGGCAGAAGGATGAGAGGATACAGTTTCATGTACCTTTCCTTATTCTTCCTTACTGAATAGTAAAATTGCGGAAGTAAAAATGTAAATAATATAGAGTGGCCATTAAAAAATTAAGTCATAGAGCAGTTTTGCGCTACTACACCGTGCTACAGAATAAATAATCACAAGATAAACTCAGTAGACTACAAGGGTAGGGCTAAAAATAAAAGTCTTGTATCGGCAATTTGAGAGTTTTCATCGCCACCAATCTATGGAGGGTATATTAGCTTTGTCATTCCGTTTGTAACTCCTCAAAATATTTATAATGGACTCTAAAAAGTATATATTCTGGATCAGCGTAAAATTCCAAAAAGATCTAACGATGCCGAACTGTTTGTCCGTCTGTTGTAATCACGCTATCTTTCGAACGAATAGAGATAGAAGGCTAAACCTTTGCATACATGCATAGTTTACTAGTAGGCAAGTTATGTTCGTAAATGGGCCATGTCGGTCCTCGTTTTCGTATAACCCCCATATAACGGAACCACCCGATATTCGGCATTTTCATGATTTTAGCGGCATTAATTACCAGAATTATTTCAAATTTCATATTTAAAGTTCGTAATTGGCACTACTGCATATGACAACAAGTAAAACAGCAGTAAGTTCGGTCGGCCCGAACTTTGAATAGTCTCCACCATTTGGAACGAATTAGGAAATTTCCAAAAAAAAAAAAAAAAAAAAAAATGAAATCCATTAAAAATTATGTTAAAAAAATGGGAGGTACCGTTATATGGGGACTATAGGATTTCGTGGACCTATATAGACAATTCTCTTTCAGGGGGTAAAGTGCTCACAAAGAACTCCTTGTGTAGAATTTCAGACAACTCTGTTGACAATTGTGGCTTAAATAATCAAAATACCGAATATCGGGGATACCGTTATATGGGGCTATACGATATCGTGGACCTATATAGATAATTATCTTGCAGGGGGTAAAATACCCACAAGGAACTCCTTGTGTGAAATTTCAGACAATTCCATTGAAAAATGTGAGTAAAATCACCAAAAGTACCGAATAATGGGGGTGGGGTACCGTTATATGGGGCTATACGATATCATGGACCTATATGGACAATTCTCATTCAGGGGGTAAAGTGCTCACATGGAACTTATTGTGTAGAATTTCCGACAATTCCGCTGAAATATGTGGCTAAAATCATCAAAATACCAAATATCTTGGGGTACCGTTATATGGGAGCTATACGATATCGTGAACCGATATAGTCCATCTTCGAACTTGACCTGCCTGCAGACAAAAGACAAATCTGTGCAAAATTTTAGCTTCCTATCTTTACTCGTTTTGATTGCGGCGATTACAACAGACGGACAGACGGACGGACAAGACTAAATCGTCTTAAAATTTTACGCTGATCAAGAATATATATATTTTGTTGGATCTAAAATTATTATTTCGATGAGTTACAAACGGAATGATGAACTTAATATACCCTCCATACTATGTATGGTGGAGGGTATAAAAATTGGGTACATGGTACAATAAGGACATAGAACAGCTTCATAAAACTACAGAAATAGAGCCCTGAGGCTATGCCCGCTTCTTGTCAGATTTATTCAAAATTATAGGCAAAAAGTTGTTTTCATTTATTTGATATTTTTTTTCCCTTCTAAAATGAGTCAAATAGCGGCAACGATGGATGTTCTCTCAAAAATATGTTCCTAAGTGTTCAATCTCTCAATTTCAATTTAAGTTTCTTCCAATCACTGATTTTTTTCAAATATTTTATTTTTCAAAAATATATGGGGCTATACAAAAACGTGGACCTATACATACAGTGTTTCGCCAAAAGAGCTAGAACACATTAAGACCAATAAACACCAATTTCTAGACAAATCCGCGAAAAAATGTGGCAAAAACCATTAAATTGCCGAATATCGGGAGGTACCTTTATATGGGGGCTACCAAAGCGTGGACCTCTACATGCAATGTTTTGCCACACGAACTGGGACCCGTTATGACCTACAAATACCAATTTTTAGACAAATCCGTTTAAAAAGTGACAAAAACCATCAAAATACCGAATATCGGGAGGTACCGTTATATGCGGGCTATACCAAAACGTGGACCCACACATACAATGTTCCGCCACACGAACTAGGACTCATTAGACCAATAAATACAAATTTTCAGACAAATCCGTTAAAAAATGTGTGAAAAAATCATCAAAATACCGAATATGGGGAGGTACCATTATATATGGAGCTATACCAAAACGTGGACCTCTACATGCAATGTTTTGCCACACGAACTGGGACCCGTTAAGTACCAATTTTCAGACAAATCCGTGAAAAAATGTGGCATAAATCATCAAAATACCGAATATCGGAGGTACCGTTATATGGGGACAGTACCAAAACGTGGAACGATATATCTGATTTTCAATACCAATCATCCTAGACACAATACAAATTGCTCTGCAAATCGTGATTTCAACAGACAGACAGACGGACATCGTTAATTTTAGAATTTTATGGTGATTATGAATATATACACTTTATGGGCCTACGACGAATATTTAAGGATGTTATAAACGGAATGACAAAGTTAATATACCCTCCTCTCCAAGGTGGAGGGTATAAAAATTGTAATCAGCTGGGAGCTCCATCTTACCTTTTTATTGTACCATGATTGGGTATACAGGTTCACGTCTTCGTATAGCCCCCATACGATGGTACCTCCTGATGGTCGGTATTTTGATAATTTCAGCAACATTATTCACGGACATCGTTTCAAATTTCTTATTGGAAGATCTTAATGGGTACTACAACCTATGGCAAAAAAAAAAAAATAAAACGTATATGCAGGTCCACGTCTTCGTGCAGTCCCCTTATAACGGTGCTTATTTAAATGGTAGTTTTCGGATTTTTTTTCTGAAAT